AAATGAAGCAGAGTAACAAGTTAAGAAAATAAAATAATGATTTTATTTGTCCTACCATTGTAAAATGCATTTAAATGAGGTTAATATATTTTTTTTTACTTTGTGAAGGCTTTTAAAGGAGATATGAATTACCTTTGCTAATAAAGCGCTTGGAATGATTTCAACAATGGATTTGGTAACAATAGATAAAACAACGTCAAGATCCAGTGGAAAAGGCTTCAGTGTCTCTTTTTAGAGTTGGTTTTTAATATTCGAAAAGCTACAAACTTGGGGAATAGTCTCCCTCCTGTGGCAAAAAGAAGAATATAAAATCATTTCATGATTTTGTGTCATGTATTCAGACTCCAGGATCCTGCTGCACAGTTCTATAGTAATCGTATAAGAGACTTCTTTCATACACGATTCCAAATACTGTTGTTCCCAAAGTCTAACAAAATATTTACTAACTGAATAAATTTGTTACAATAGGATGCAATGTCTCTGGTGTGTTTAAAATGGCTTAACAGAAGTTTCCAATTGAAATTACATGTTTCCTGCTTAATACACAATATGATCCGCTGTGCATTAATTCTGATACTCCTACACATTTACAGTTCAATTTAATATGATTTAAGAGGATTCTCACCACATAAAAAGACTGCAACAAACATAAAATTCCACACATTCACAAAAAATAAAGCTTTGTACAGTAGATACTGATTTTACTCTTTGTCGCATCACCATATTTATATTGCGATATGTTCCTTGCAAATTACCAGAATGTTTGGATGTTTACATATCCTCTGTTCTTAACCTTTGCTGTTGTGCATTTAGGCATGCAGGTGTGTCATCTAGCTGAGATGCAACACATTTAGATGCATCACTGTAGTAGGAAAAAAAGAGCCTCCAATTACAATTCCGTGGGGTAGGGAGGTTGAGAAAAGAACAAAGCATATGAAAGAGCAGACCACTGCAGGCTGGGAGCAAGAAGTAACGATTCAAGGTTTTAAGCAAACCTCTCAATAGCACTGCCTCAGCTTACTCCTTCTCTATTATTCACTTCAGCAGAGAAAAGCCCATTAAAAGCCTAACGCATAGGCAGTGCTTCCACTTATGACAAACAGGAGTAAAGGGTGATAATGGAGATCCAGGTAAGAAACCCCATTCTGAGTCTGTTCACTAAGATGAAAAATGATATGAATATCATTTTATCATCAGTATACCAATATCGGCAAAGAAGTTTGCTTCCTATGTCACAATGATCCCATGGATACATATGGGTCCAAACTACGCATAACATCTGACACAGATTTAAATTTTGTTAACAAAGTGCAACTGTAATTTTCTGAACCACTGTACCAATTCACGGCAACTGAAATATTTTGCATGCTTGACCATACTTGTGGATAAAGAAGGTCCTGAGGATCTGAGTAACTGGAGACTGGGGGCACAAAACCTAGCAGGAAGGAAATAAAAATCCCAAGAGTTGAATGGAGACATATTGTGCCAGTTCAATTACAGTACATTTTCCTTCTGAGAGGGTACGTAACTCGCACACATTTTCTTTGAACGGAACCAAACTCGTTCTGATACCTAATTAGCTGAGCCTCACCGAATATAGGTAAAAGTAAGCTGATATTTCTTTTCCTGCTGCATAAGCTCCACAAAGCAAAATTTAAAACAATGTGCCCTTAACCTGAATCAATGATATATGTGTGGAGGTCAAGGCTATGAAACGCCTTTGGTGACAGACATAAGCCAGAGCATCTTCTGGGTTTTCGTCTGGTGAGCACTCATGTGATATGTGAATTCGTTTAATATAAATTCAGCAGTTCAACATTTTGTTACCTACTGTATGTATGTTTAATTGAAAGCATACTTTCCATGAAGTATTACTCTTAAAGGGGAACTGCAATGCTATTTTTATGTTTGGGGTTAGAAATAGCAATGATGAGTGCTTTTCAAACCACGGTAAAAGTCAAATGTACCGTGTACAGTAACCTGTAACTCTCATTCTCGCCGTGGTGAGACCAGTGATTTGCGGCAACAATGGCGACCATACAATACTTTCAACAAAGTTCACGATTTTGTGCTTAATTAGAAATTTGTAATCTACACCAATCTCATCTATGTTTTCTATACCATTCATGAGAATTTATTTTGTTACTGAGATTTCATAACCGTTCTGAGAAATTGGGACTGCAGCTCCCCTTTAATTAATCAGCATCAGAACAGCTGAAAAGGAAAGCAAGATGCACCAAGCTGAGCAAATAATGGGACCAGTAAAAGGAAAGACCTTTGCACACTGGGTTTGATCTGTCATCCCATTATTGATGTGTAAATTCTACTGGATGGACATCTTTCCTGGATTAGAGGTGAAGATGACAGATCAGGTTCAGTATACATTCTGAAATGTACTTCTGATGGGAAGTGCTCCAGAAGACAGTGAGAGTCTTCATGACTGGAAGTGATATGGATTATGTAGGCTGTGGGACTTCCAAAGGAGGCTGTTTTGTTGTTTGTGATGACCTTTACTGTATTTTATCTAAGGTGTGAGACCTTTGGCTTGGGGGTAGTTTTCAAACCATTACTGATGCAGTGGTCCCTTCCAGATGCATGTCTTGTTTGGAGTATGGAGTATTGTATGGAGTGGGTCTTGTGAGCATGAAAATAAACACTATGGACGAGGAAAGGGGCTGAAGGCGGCTCTGGACCACAGTGAGGCTTGGGGACCGTCACTGTGTGAGAATCTTGGATTTTGAAGCCTCCGGCCTTTAAAAGAGAAGCAGATTGCAACAGTTGTTTTTTTCAACTTTGACATTCTCCTTTTGTCAACAGAATGAATTAAGCCCTCATTGCCCTTGAACTTTGGAAGTGGCATTTAAGTTTTAATCAACTAAAGCGCGTGGATACAATTTCTGTTTTTCTTTCTCCGTGTAATTTAAATGAAAATAATGGAATGGGCTTGAGGTATCGAATGGAGATCATGATTGCCTCAGAACAGACAAAGACTTCTCTCTCTGCTCTTCCTGGATTCCTCATACACTGTAGTTGCCTGTTTGACATTTACAACATGTCCTGTGGTTTTTGATAACATTGTTCTGTTTACGTGTGATTGTGCAGCACACTTTTCAAAGGTGAATGCAACTGACAAGACCAGGTTGTACCCCATCAAAGAATCTATTGCGCAGTTCCAGCCAACCCATTCAGAATTTCAGAATGACACATAGTTTATGTATTATGAAACAAGTAATATGTTTATTCCATGCTGAAAAAAAGAAGAAAGAAAACACAACTTTTCGCCCGTGGAGCCTTCTTCAGGTGTATGTATTGTGTCTTTTTATTATGTATTTTATTATACTTTTAAAGGTAGAATTGTCAATTATTTTTTATTTTTTACACACCCAACATGAAATTACCATAAGTGTCTTTACATTTCAGCTCACAGCCTCTCCCTGTACTCCCATGGAGAGAATGAGAGCATACATACAGGTTCCCCTGACCAACTGCTCTTCAGAGCCATTCATCTTTCATCAAGCCCCACAGAGAAACATAGGAGACTCACTGTGGATTGGAGGAGTTTCGCATCTCTCAATGACATCACAAATGGGCAGTTGCCGTGGTCACCAGAAGCCAAGAGAGCCCAGTAATCCCCACCTCTCGTCCTGGTGGAGTCAAGCCAATCATGTGCCATCTCTCAGGAAATCTGCATCGTGATTGGCTGGTAGTGACTGAGGATCACATATGAGGATTACAGATGTGTTGTTTGAGCCACCTGATGAAATATGTTTTGATTTGTGAATAAATATTAATATCCTAGAGATTTTTCTTTGAAACTAATTGCAAATAGATGTACATGATGGAAGAATGATTTTAAAGATCTGAAAGCAAATTTTTTAAAGGATTTTTATTGTTTTATGGTTTATGGTTTTAATTAATTACTTAATTGTTGAAAAAATTAGCAAAATATTATTGCACCTGAATGGTAAATTCCATATATATAAATCCAGTACAGTAACTGGAAAGATACATTGGTATAGTACAGTCCGCATAAATAAAAGTAATTTTTACAAGCATTTTGTATACCTGTGCCAACTACATTGGAGGCAGCTAAACCACTGAAAATAATAATAATAATAATAATAATAATAATAATAATAATAATAATAATAATAATAATAATAATAATAATAATATATAGTACATACTCTTAAAAGCACAGGAACTTCAAATTGTCACTTCAAACAAGATTATGCAATGTAACTTAAGAAATTAATTTGATTTATTTGTGTTTTATCATGATATTCATTAAATAGCAGGCAAGTACAATACTTGTAGTTTTAGAGAAAAATAAGTGTCCTACTGTAAACTGACAGATATTTTGAATAATACGTGGTCATGAAATCTGAGCTTGTGTTTTAGGTTTACATTCATTAAGATGCACTTAAGTGGTACAGGAACAGTACATTTACTTTATTAAAATAATTATTGCAAACTTTAGTTCACTTTTGCCTTAACAGGAATTTAAACTGATATAAGTTACTATTGTCATATCACTACTTTGTTTTTTATACTAGCTTTTATTCAATATCCACTCCTTGGGCTAGCTCTCTACTACTATAAGTGACGAGTATAAAGTTCTAGCTACAAATTACAGCTTTTTCCAAAAGAATCCATTAAAGTACACTGGCTTATTACTGGAAATTTCCTTTAATTTAGCCCAATCCCCTTGATATATGGTAGAGGGATTCTTAATATATCAAGTGACCAGTGCTTCTGCTCCTGTGACCAACTGAGTACATGAGAGTGGCATATCTCATGTCACAGAGGCGAGGAAACAAGAAAAGTACAGAAATGAGCAGTTCAATTAAGTCCTACCTGTCTGCAAACATTTGCATGTTCTCAAGTTTCAGGTCTTTCGTAGAATCTTGAATAATTCACCAATCCCGTCCGTCCAAAACTTTGGTACCCTCCAATTGGTCAGGATGTAAAGAATTCCTGAGAAAAAAATTAAATCAGAGTGTGAATGTGGATGATTCTAGTTCGTACAAAGAGCCATTAGGGGATGAGGTAAATTATAAACAGTTCATTAAGAAGGTAAGTGAGAATAATGTTAATTCCTTAGCATTAGAAAGGAAAACTGCCGCTTGGTCTTTTCTAACATGGTCAGATAATTTGGCAAAACTGAAATATTCAGTGTGATTTGTTTTGCTATTGGTGTTTTAGGAGTTGCAATTGTATTACAAATACTTAAGATTATTAAGTAGATGTAGAGGGAATGTGCTTTTGTATTTGTATAGGTTCATATCGGATAAAAGAAACTAGTGCCTGTTCATTTTTTTCTAACCTGCATGGATGATAAAGCTTGGGTATTCAATCACACACGAAAATCTCAGAGTGGACTGGTATTGAAAAAGAAACAGAGCTAAGAGAGAAATTATTCCAGTTTTATATTGTTGTGCTGAATTGTTCAACTTCTGAAAAAGCACTATCTAAACCTAAGAAAAATAAATGAGAAAAAAAATGTATGTGGCTGTTTTGATGTAAAGAGCTGTCAGACTCCAAAATTCCTGCATCTTAAATATTCCTACACAAAGCTGAGATCTGAGGTGAAGTTAAATAAATCAAACAGTTATACAACATTCCCAGCTACAGGAAACATTCTTTTATACAGAATTTGTATTCACTTGGATTTCTCTTCTATAAGAAACTTTTTTGTTCTTTGTTTAACCTTCTCTGTCTGGTAGTCCGTGATTGTAAGTTTACCGAACATAGAAAAATCTGTGTTCTGACATTTTCAAATATCAGAATGATACAAATACTGTAGATAAAATATTTTTTTCAGTCTGATGTTTTACTACATAGATAAATGTACATATTTCACAGATCCTTTAGGTTTTGAATATAGGGGCTGCAAAGATATGTATTAATAATATTCAACAAAACATCTTTCTTCTAGAAAAAAGGCTGCATTCGCACGCACCTTGTCAGTTTTATTTGTTTTATCAAGTGTTATCTTCCCTCCACCTGTTGTCAACGAATTACCTACAATTGAGCTTTTCTCCTCATTTCATCCCACTGCTGTATCCTTTCCAATTTCAGATCAATACTCTCCATTCATTTCTCAGCGCAGCCAGGCTTGTCTTCCTACCTAATAAACCTAATAAGCTCTTTTCACCAACCAACCTAACAACCTAAGAACCTCGGGAGTTCATCTCAGGCGTGCGGCTCTCTCCAGACACATACTCACGGGGGTTACTGTAGTGCTGCAAAGCAAATCTATACTCTGGTCAGCTTGCTCTCCCAGTCCATTTGTGTCATCCCCCAGTCAAGACAGTGGGTTTGAATAAGTGATCTCATGATGTGCTTTGCTTTCCATACCATGCTTTTTTGCAGTGCTTTACTGAAATTCAATAAATAGCTCTGTACTGAAATTCAGTGCACTGATTGACACTTTCAAGGCTCCTTTGCCTCCTAATGATGTGTTCCAATAGACCCAATGGATCCTTATTATGGATCTCTTCATCACACTTCTCAAAAACGAGCTAATTACATTATATTAGCACATTCTCCCTTAAAATGTTGAGGAATCAAAATTAATAATATTTTTTACGCTTTTGTATTGTTAATTGCAGGTATTGAAATGGCGACCTTTTCCTTCCCATCAGTGTGTCTAGTGGCAATTGTAATTATTGCGCACATATCAGCTAAGACGACTCAGTTTCCTAAGTACCTGTACACAAAGAAGCCCTTCCCGGAAGTCCATCAGACTACCACCACGTTTTCCAGCGGCGTCACGGATGAGACGACCGACGGCACAGAGACCTCGTCCTCGGCATCCACGGACAGCACCACCTTCGCCAACAACCCCTTCCAGGGCTTCAAAACTATCTCCACACCGCCTCCCAGCCTCGATCACGAGAACTTCACTCTCGACTACAACGAATGCTTCTTCAATTTCTGTGAGTGCTGTCCTCCGGAGCAAGGACCAAAAGGACAGAAGGGAGACAGGGGGCTGCCAGGTACTATTTCAGCGGTAACTGCCTTGTCACAGGTTAACCCATGCATTGCAGGGAAGTCAGACGTACCAAATTAGCAAACAGAAAAGACCGCATTCAGATCGTAATGAGTTACAAAAAAAAAAAGAAATGAACAACTGCATTCGTATAATGCTGTACCTCCCTGCAATTTCCCTCACGGGATCAATAAAGTATCTATTTATATTATACAAAATGCAGAGCTGTTGTGGAAAATATTGACACCTTAAATGATGAATGTCTATTTTAGAAAATAAAAATGCACATTTTCATTCTGAGTACAGAATGTGCACTGTGCTCTTGTGACCCTATTAAATGTAATCCTTTTATAATTTTTTAAAATAACTTTTTATTTCAGTAGTAAAACATATACTGCATTCTAGGATTGATATCTTACTATCAACACAGACATTTAGCACATTATGAAAATTAGTTTGTGCAATAATATAACTATGAGTAGCAGTTAAATGGAGACAAGTATCAGGAAGATTAGCACTGTTGCCTTGGGGCCTGGGTTGCTTGCCTGGAGAGGCTTCTATATGTAGTTTGTATGGTTTGTATGCTCTCCCATGTCTGAATGGGCTGGTATTCCATCTAGTGTACAGGCTTGTGTCAATGCTTTCGGATTAGGCTTTAGCAGACTAATCCTTACAAAGAATAAGGGGCTTTATGGTAATGGAAGGAAAAAGTTTTGGAATACACTCCGTTCACATCTGTGCAAGTATTCTGGAATCCACTCCTTTCAGAACATTATATCCTTGAAAAAAAAAAATCTGTACTATTTTATCACCTAAAGTGTATATTTGTTAAAGGACTATTTTACTGCTCTGTAATCTATTTGTTCTCTGATTATTAACGAGAAGAAGCAGCGCTTTCTTCTTTATTAACCCAAAACTGTATTTGAATGAAATATTAAATCATGAAGTGAAATCTGCAACTCCCATTTTGTTCAGCATATCTGACACATTTGATTGAATGCGGATTTGAACGTGTATATTAAAACTATTACAGGGCATCGTTTAGACACGGCAACACAGATATTTGCTTGTTATCTGAGGCGATTGTCTGGAGAGGCTCTAGTGCTTGCCAAGTGCTGAGTGGGGATGTTGTGCTGTTGCAGGACCTCGTGGAGACAAAGGAGAGCCGGGATTAAGGGGACTGCCTGGACCAGCAGGCATTTCTGGGATCAAAGGGGCCAGAGGAGAAAAAGGTGACATTATATCCTATCTTGTTTTTCAGGAATTTTTATTGTAACCCCTTTTTTTTCAAAAAAGGAGGCACTTAGACTTTTTAAGCACATTCCAGAAAAGGGATTTACACTGTTAGATTAGAGGATTTGAAAGCACTGCAGCCCTTCACAGTCCAGTTCCTCATCCAGAGTCAGATGTCATTCCTGATTCAAACAGTGGGATTTTTCTGATATTTGATATCACGTTAATTAAAGATTAGCACCTTTTGGTTTCCTTTTAACAAGGCTGTAGGACTGCAGACTATAATCTCCCTTCCCAGGCCTGTGATCAGTTAGCTCTAAACAAGGACTTCTTTGAAAACTGGGAACTTATTTCAACATTATGATATCAAATATGAGAGGTATTTCGATCAGTTATCGCATCTACCTATGATCCTGTTGAATAGTGTGGTGTCACTTTCAGGGCCACATGGATTTCCAAGGAAGTGGCTTGACTCTAGGATGTGTTAGGAGATACAACAAACAGGAAAACCAGTAATAGTATCCTGGCATGGCATGGTGCTGTTGTTAGAAATGGAAAAGATTCATACCGATGTGACATTTGACAAAGTCAACATGCACTTAATGTGATCATCAAAGAGGATGGACGGGACTGAAAATACTAATACAATGAGTGTACTGTAGGTAGTACAAAACCGCTACTGAAGTGTTTGTTAAAACTTCTTGTGCTGATACCAAAGGTCATAGTCTTTGTTCTTTTAAATATGTGGCATGAATAGGAGCAGTCATGTTCTTTTGTGCACATTGACGTTCACTGCTGGGCTAGACTGTATCTAATATAAGAACAAGTAATATGTTTATTCCGTGCTGAAAAGAGAAAAAAGAAACAACACCGTTTCGGCCGTGGAGCCTTCTTCAGGTGAAGCTCCACGGCCGAAATGTTGTGTTTTCTTTTTTCTCTTTTCAGCATGGAATAAACCTATTACTTGTTCCTTTTGCAGCCTATTCATGCTGACGTAGCTGCCCACCTGTATCTAATATATGTACATACCAGAAGCAAGCAGGTGCCAAAGGAATGCAAGGCATGCATGTGATTGCCGCTTTTATGTAAAAACACAGCTCCCAACACGAACCAGACTGCACAAGTGGAAACTGTAGGGAAAAAGAGAACAGGATTGTTGTGACCGTGTGAAACTTTTGGTTTAGGTTTAGCTGAGCCCTTGTGTATTTCAAGAAATGGCTGGATGAGATCATTGGATCATTGGAACTAACTACCTGAAGGGCTACATGGGATGAGTGGCCAACTCTCACTACAACTTTTCTTATGTTCTCATTGTACATTTTGCTCTTGACATCAGTTTCAGGATTCATCTGTTAAGAGTGGCTGTATGAAAAGTTCTTTCAGTTAAAATTGTGTAAAGCGCAAAAAAATAATTGAAACCCCTTACCAGCTTTAATCGTAATGTGTTACAGGATTTTGTGTCCTGATTTTTCTACTCATTGTAGAAAAAAGCAAACATGTCCTGAGTGACAGTAAGATTAAAGAGCGATCAATACAGTCAATCACATGTGTCTCGCACTTGTCAAAATTATCAGCAGTGCACAGAACAGAGGGAACAGAATACAGGACACATTTCTATTTGTTAATATGAGTTGAAAGAAAGGCATTTTTAAGACATTCAAAGTGTTTCCCATGTTCAATATTTTAGAACTTGAGAAAGGATTTGGTCTGCATGGTACCCCTACCCTTACCTTTGTACGTGCAAATAAGTGTGAGTGCCGTATTTCCTTTCTGGATTTGGTTTTCTTGACATTCCTCTGAACAGTTTGGGCTCTCTCACATCCTAGCACTGTGGTTTAGAACAGTCACCACCGAGCTAAAGGTAGCTAAATGTGGCACGAGTGTGCACGAGCATGAGTGCAGAGGAGTAGCACACACACGTACAGTGTGTTCCCACTATTCCACTCGTGCAGTGTGAGCTCTTGAGAAGAAGTGCTATACTAGGATATTTATCATTCATTTAGTATTTCATGCTGGTTTAGGGTTGAGATTTGAAGTTGCTAGTCTGCCCAGGCTTGACTGTCTTCATGACAATCTTCTCCAGGCCTAGAAGACACAGCATTTAGAATTCTGGGAGCAGTCCTTCCGGAAATGATACATATTTAGGAAGCGTTGATTCTTAATTATTATTTTTTAATAGGGGACAAAGGTGATCTGGGAGAAAATGGAATTAACGGACTTCCTGGGATTCCAGGGAAACCAGGCGAGAAAGGTGAGTCATGAAAAGTATTTCAGGCTTTCAGAAGCCGAGTTCTGGCCCCTGTGAGATATTTTTAATCTGTATTTGACATTGGGGGTATTTACCGTCGCAATCCCTGTATTGTATCAGCTATCGGCTTAAAAAATATTTAGCATAATTGGTTCTCATTAATCCTCTTTAAAAGTGTGAGATGGAAGAATGGCCATTTTAGTTGCTGCAATCCATCCATGCTTAGCAATTGCAACAAATAAGATGAAATCCAGTATATATAGGTGAAATATGAAGTATATGTAATAATGTGGCATATCTATTGCACAGTCATCTTTTCCTTCTGCAAATGATTGCCCCTTTTGATTACTACAGCACATTATTAACAGATTCCCATTCTTTAATTCTTGCAGGTGATATGGGGTCCAAAGGAGACAAGGGAAACGCTGGTTTTCCGGGGTTCAGAGGTGAAAGAGGGGAGAAAGGGGATCAGTGTGAGAATGGCACCAAAGGAGAGAAGGGGGAACCTGGAACTATGGGCCCAATGGGGTTTCCGGGGCCGACAGGGGAAAAGGGGCAGAAGGGGGTTTCGGGGGACAAAGGGGATTGTGGGTCAGGGGGAGAAAAAGGAGAAAGAGGCGAGAAAGGGGACACTGGTCCGAAGGGCCTGAAGGGAGACAAGGGGGAGGCTGGCATGGACGGTCCCGCTGGTGCCAATGGGCTGGACGGACAAGAAGGGAAACCTGGTGTCCCAGGAGAGAAAGGCGAACCGGGAGTCAGAGGTTTTCCCGGCCCTCCTGGACCGAAAGGGAACAGTGGACCGAAGGGCGATCGGGGTCCCCCGGGAATGAAGGGGGACCGTGGCCCGAGGGGTTTTAAGGGGGCCAGAGGTGACAGCGTGGTAGTGAAACGGTCGGCCTTCAGCGTAGGCTTGTCGCCCAGCAAGTCCTTCCCACCACCTGGCTTTCCAGTCAAATTCGATAAGGTCTTCTACAACGAGGAAAACCACTACGACATCGCCATTAGTAAATTCAACTGCAGCATTGCCGGAGTGTACATCTTTACCTACCACGTGACTGTGAGGAACAGGCCCCTTAGGATCGCCCTGGTGGTGAATGGAACTAGGAAGCTGAGAACCAGGGATTCTCTGTACGGCCAGGACATCGACCAGGCGTCTAACTTGATCCTGTTGAAATTATCCCAAGGTGACCAGGTGTGGTTAGAGACACTGCGAGACTGGAATGGAGCGTATGCTAGCAGTGAGGATGACAGCACGTTTTCAGGATTCCTGCTGTATGCAGATAAGGCCTGATTTTTTAATCTTGGGATGTTATCTGAGAGTGGAAAACGGAAGAAGTAGCCGATAATAAAATAAGATATGTCAAATTAATTATTAATGGAATATTCTTATACTTTAAACATTTTTTCCTTTAATTTAAATTATAAGAATCTGAGGTTTTATGAAAGAAGAATAACTTTGAAATGATAGTAGTGGACAAAGTCTTGGCACCATTTGTATGGAGTCTTGGTTGATTTAATACGGTACTTATGTGTCAACAGTAAACTGCGTTGTCTTGTTAACTGCTTTGTTTTTACGAATATTAGAACACTCCAAAATAAAATCAAGCAGTAAAGTGATGTATTTTTTATTGCTGAAAGAAAAAAGAACAGACACTTTACTAACAGGCATTTCCATTTAAATTTGGCATCACAGGACTCACTGGGGACAACAGCATCCAAGACTTGAATGCTCGGTGAGATAGCTTGGTTTAACCCACTTGGGTAATGGGCAGCCTCTGGCCATGTGACAAGGAGGCTCGAACCCAATTCAGAAGTGAACCAAGGGGGAGCACCAAGGTGGAGATGGGGAGGAGGAGGGATGATTGAGATGAAAGGGAAGGGAAGCGTTTGTGTTTGATATACGGCGCTAATTTCCAGCACTGGTGAATACGGTAGATACAGCTGTGTGTGATTACCTACAGCTGTGTAGTTATCCCTCCCCGTCTTCCGTTAAGAACGTCTTTAATTCATTAATTTCTTACATAAATGTCTTTAACCAGGTATAGCGATGGCGGTTTGTGCTGCCATCCCACAACCCCATGGTTCAGATCCAGATTTAGTCAACTGTCTGCGTCAGGTCTGCATGTTGCCCCTGTGTTTGTCTGGAGTTTTTGCAGCTGGAGGTTTCCTACTACACACCTAAGACATGGTGGCTAGGCTTGATTACCTCTTTCATATTGCCCCTTTCCTGGCACTGATGGCCTGGCACCATGTCTAGGAGGAGAGCAGTCATCCGGCAGGCATTGTGCTCAATGCTCCCAAGACTGGCCAACGGAGGCTCCAGGCTGTTGCTGCCCTTGCCAGGGAAAGTGACTTCCTGATAATGGGTGGACATTATATGACATTAATAAGTGACCCATTGCTCAGACATTCTTGAAACGCTTGAATTAGTTCCATTTATTATCTTACTTGTACTCATCATACCACTCTCTATAAAACACTCCTCAAACTACTGTAACAGTCCTACAGTGAGAACCAATGGTCTAAGATGCAATGTGGAAATCTTCAACGAGATTGATCAAGTGGGCTGGCTTATAATCCATTTGATTTTGAGCTTTTAAAATATCAGCTTGAGGTCATTATAAGGTATGGTATGGTAAACAATAGATACAAACATAAGACTTAAACTTCACAGAGTATCAACGTGCAGCATCTCATAGCAAAAATGAGACATTTTTATAGAAAGTGTGAGAAAATGTGACCTCTGCTTTCTACACTCACACAAAAACATCACCCTCAGCTAGAAAGAGTGCTTTTCAGATTGCTGTCCTTGAATTCTTGAATGTGAGAAAACTTACAAAACAAGCTCTCAGCCTCAATGCCTTTTTAAACAAAGTAGATGGAAACTAATGCTGTTGACAAATATATGAAAATGCATCAAAATGCCACTGGGAATGATGACCAAATTGCTGCCCGTTCACAGGAATGAAAATGCAAATACACACCACATATCATGATTTACGTTATGATTTGTTTATAATGAAAAACTTTCTTAAGGTTTGTGTGTGAAAAATGCCAGCCCTGCAGCGATGCACTCAACAGAACAGAAGCATTATTGAAACAAAGCCACAAAATCATTATGTATCAAGCCATTTTTGTTGTTGATGCTGTGTTTTGCAAGTTGATTTAGAATCAAGGATAGAGATGTCAGGTTTAATTTCAATTCCAGCATCTCAGCGTCTCTCCACCTTAAATTTAATTAGAGCTGAGACAGCCTGGCTTAGAACTTGTTTAAAATATGACCCTGCCAAGCCTGTTGATCTTCCCTGGATTTTTTAATTCATCATTGAGGTATCAAGGAAAATTCGAAATGACATTTCAAAGCTGTAACAATGAACAATATTTCAAAATTTGATGCTGTCACAGGGTCTCATTAGGATTCATGCAGATGTTTCAGGGGTTATCTGAAGGTCAGGTTGTTAACTGGCAGTCGTGATACAGGGATGCATTTTCAAAGCAACATATTCAACCTTTGCAGAACCCTAACTGTACAATAGCCATTACATTTAAACTCCATTCCCATTTGTCTTTGTGACCTTTTCAGATTTGACACTGAAAAACAAAGAGCTAACAAGCTGCTAGAAGTTGTGCCATGAAGAAACACCACACTGCAAAGAAAACCCCCACAAGACACAGCTGATTTATTTACAGGGATTTTTCTTCTTCCGAAAATATGCAGCAAATATATTCTGTATATCCACACACGTGTTAGGGTGCTACAGTTATTAGGAGAACATTTTGCCTAGCCAGTTATGGCAGTTTCTTGACAGAAATAACAAAAATTGAGCGGACGTAGAAGCTGTCGGAGATGTTGCAACAGCCATAATGAGTAATGCAATACATTCTGATCTGCATCATCTTTGTGGAAAAGAGCATATCCACACCAGCATGCATATTGTTTCAGATGTCATGTAAGTGTAATAAATCTGTTTCAAAACAGGAGATACTGGAGATTTCTGTCTGAGTTGCAGTATATAATGCTTATCATTGTCAAACATACAAACAACCAAATCTCCTATCCTCTGTGATGAGATTCCTGTTGAGACACTTATTGGGGTACACTCGGAGAGCCAGTTTAGCCACTGTCCATCCCTGTTATGAACAAATTGCATGGTCATCGTTTAACAGATAAGTGGAAATGAAAGCAGCATTTGAGCAAAAGTTGAAGGAACAGATTCATGTTCCGTTTGCCTGCAAAGCAAAGAAACCAACATGGTCATGTTATTATATGGGAAGGAATGATATTTTAGATAGTGCCTTTTGAAACAATATTCTCAAAGTACTTTACATACGTCAAAAGCACGTTTAACAATAAAATAAATTTAAGGAAAATTACAACGTAAAACCTAAAATAGATACAGAAGGTAAAATAATCATAAAACTGCCTTTCTGAGAAGGCTAGATTTCAGGCTAGATGTAAAAGCACCCAATGGGGCCCAGTCCCTGGATCTCTTTGGGATGGTTTTTAACAGCTTTAGGGCACAGCAACACAAGGCCCTGTCTGTCATGATCATCATCCCTCCTCTAGAGGGCGCTCCGACCCTTTTGTGTTTTAGTTTCATCATCACGTACACCTGTCCCTGGATTCACCGATATTATTTAAACCTCGTGCCTCGTGCCTCTGAAGCTCAGGGCTCTGCATTGGGAGACGGACACCCGGAGGCCCGCCTAGCGTCAAGTCGCTGTACGTCTGTAGCTTGGAGGCATAATGTAGGCTTCTGATCGGCGTCCTGACCCAGCTCGGAGCTCCTGGCCTAGTTATCCTTTTAACCTTTGTGTTCCTGATCAACATCCCCCTTCCCGGGGATTTTAATCGTCTTGTTTTGGATGGATCACCTGGTTTTGGATTTCGGACTGATTTTCCCCCTTTTGAACTGTTTTGGACTAGTTTGCCCGCGCTCCCCCCTTGGACCTGGATCACTGTGGGCACAGCTCTCCTGTTCGCCATCCCTTCCATTCCTCACCGTGTTTTCCCTGTAGGTACTGTATAGGTTTAGATATAGGTTATCTAATACAGTTTTAGAGACTCCAGCAAGTAGCCCATTACAATATTCAATCCTTGAAAAACAAACCGCGTGTCAGTTTCTCAACTATAGACACAAACGGCACAAGGCAGCCTGGCACTGTTACTAAGATAGAGAAACTACACCCTTGACAATGAGAATCCCATAGAATACATGAGGCTCAAACGTCAATCTAATTTGTATCAAAACTCTGTGCCATTACCAGTCAATGTTACAACATTGGCTTTATGTAAATAATGGGAGGAACTCAATAACATGACCTCAGTCTGATCACAAGTTAAGTTAAGAATTTTGAATCATCCAAGCTAGTTTATCAGCGGTGCAACAAGTGACTACTGAAACATGCAGCTTAGTATCAGGTTTTAATGCAGACATGGATCTGAAAATCGTCAGCAATGATTCAAACATATTCATTTTAGTATCGAGCAAGAGGAAACATAAATACCAAATAAAAGAAGGTGCACTCATAAGCCCATACAATATACGATCTAATGGCCCATACATCAGAACAAAAAGCACCAACTGAAATAAAATGTTGACACTCAATAAGGTAAGATTTAATCATTTAAGGGCATTAGAAAATATACAAAAGTCTGTAGTCAAATATCATTGTTTAGATACTGGACCAGTTATAAAGAGATATTTAGCAACACTAAGGACATTTTCAGTGTTGTGGAATTGTCTAAGCCTTTACAGAAAGGTTTGAAAAGGTTTGTAAAGGCTTATTAACAGATTATTTAGTTGCAAGACAACAGAATGTTTTGGTATTTTTGCAAGAAATGGTATGCTAGATACTGTATAAAACAGAATGTACTCAGATTATGTCAAGCTACTGTACACTTGGTGTTTTGCAGTAGTGTAAGAGTTCCCATTAAGTAAAATAACTTTACTTTGGTATTCTGCATTCTGTTTTTCAATTTAATCTTCATTAATATCCTTAATTAAAGCTAACGTGCAGTATTTGCCTGAAAATGAAGTGCCCCTCCCTGTCAGAACAGTTCACAAGTACAGTACATGCTTCAGCAATCATAATTAAAGGATATTGATATCCATATCTGCTTTCATGTAGAACATTCTTCTCTAACATTCTAAACATGAATTGATATTGCTGTGAAACAACAATATTTAGGATCTAAATAAATAATAGAACCTGGGGAAAAAGCACTAAAATATTCTCTTCCTTTGCTCTTTCAGAAAATCTAAGTACAGTAGCTAACATTCTATCAATCTCCTTCCTTTTAAAAAAAAAAAGTGTAATGATAACACATGGCTGAGCAGCCTAATGGAGCATAATGAGATTTAATCTCAACTAAAATAAAATGACTGAATCGCTAAAATAAAAAAAAAATATTTTGCAAGAAAATGGGCAGTTTTAATTTTAGGTGTGAGATTACTAATACACCTGCTTGTACGGCAACAAATCTGCCTTTAATGTTTATATTATTTTTCATGTTATTTCAACCACTACACACTTTGCT